ATGCACCAAGAGCTTGTAACACTCCAAAGAGAAAGGAAAAATTGAAATCGCATCATATGACCCCTTTAAAGATTTTTAAAAATTGAGCATTGATCTTTATGGTATGAGACTTTGTTACATTTGTCACACTTGAACCGGGAATATATGAAAAAAATGTTAGTGAATTCGAGCAGTTTAAGTGAGTGCTATAAAGAAAGTATCAAAAGTGTCCCTCGCGGGTCATTTTGACCCACCACTGGAAAAGCATGGAATTTACGAAAAAACTGCAGATTTTTTTTTATTTAATTTTGTTACACTTGAGCATGGAGCACACACAAAAAAAATTGATTCGATTCAAGGATTCTATGTGGGAGTAATAAAAAAAGTATTACACACACAAGTATTACATTCATTTTGACCCGGCCGTAGGAATGAATGGAATGTCAGAAAAAAACAGCATTTTTCATTTATTTGATATTTTTTTTGACTATACAAAATCTGACACAATCCTGAAAAGATGCATACCCAAAGAGCAGTTTAAGTGGGTCATTTTGACCCACCACTTGAAAAGCATGGAATTTACGAAAAACTGCGGATTTTTTACATTTTTTTATTTTGTCACACTTGAACATGGAGCACACAAAAAAATTTGAGTCGATTCGAGGATTCTATGTGGGTGTAATAAAAAAAGTATTACACCCACAAGTATTACATTCATTTTGACCCGGCCATAGGAATTAATGGAATGTCAGAAAAAAAACAGCATTTTTTAATTTATTAAATTTTTTTAACTATACAAAATTTTACACAATCCAGAAAAGATGCATACCCAAACAAAGGGCAGAGACTGCAGAATGTCCACACATATCACATATCCACACACACAGGCACACACACAAACACACACACACACACACACACACACACACACATGGCAAACACACTCCCATTGAAACACATTAGAGCATTTATGATGTTTCTGCTGGGAAATGACTGTCATTTTGATTTTTTTTTTTTTACTTAACACAGTTAATTTTGAGTGATGGGGTGGAGACCAATGAGTTTATATCATATTTATATTTTTGAATGGATCTTTTATATTTATTAAATATTTATGAATATGCATGTGTTTGGATTAAAGTTCAGTATACATTTTTTAGAAAATATAGTTTTTTTTAATGTTTTGATATATATCTGAAAGCCTTGAGATATATCTGAAAGCTTAATGAAGCCTCAAGTTGGTGTAGTTTTAAACATTTCACTTGTTTAGCTCATTTAAGAATCTCCATAGGGTTCTATAGGCCCCTCTAGTGGCTGTAATCATAAAAGTTACGAGTCTGACTCTCTAACCATTAGGCCACGACTTCCCCATCTAGTCGTGTTAGACTAGTTTAAAGTATAAATATGCAGAAATTGTGTCTTTCTTTGTTTTTGGGGGGGTTTTTTTGGTGAAAAAATTTATAAAATATGTTAATTTTCATAAAAATATCCAGAATTTAATGTGAATAAAATAAAAATCACCAAAAAAGAATTAAAAAACATTATAAAATTACAAAAAATTATAAAAATGGACCAATATAAGCTTTCTGGACCAAAAATAAAATTAGTGTCATTTTTGGCCTTCGGGTCATTTTGGCCCGCGAGGGACACTTTTGTTCTAGGTTCGGGAGGGACGGATGAGGGTTAATAACAATTAATAGTTAACAGTTATCATATTGCTGTTATTAATAACTATTAATAACAGCAATATTACAAATTACACACATTCTGGACCAAAAATAAAACTAGTGTCATTTGTGGCCTTCGGGTCATTTTGACCCGCGAGGGATACTTTTGTTATAGGTTCGGGAGGGACGGAGGAGGTCTAAAAGTCACTCGTTTTTATAAAGTAACACTGTCCAACAGCGACACCCGCAGGTAGAGTTACAGCGGAGGCTTGCCTCCCTTCGGTCCATAGACTTACAACAGAGACCCCAAAGTGTGCGGGGAGCAATAAATCCCGCCTCTTTTTTTGTGTGAGCTCTCGGCCTGAATGAAGAAAATGATGGTGTTATTGACTAATTATAAAGTAAGTAAACAACTCTCCTGCTTAGATACCACTACTTTGTGTCACGTCAAAATAAAACTTGAAATGGTCTGAAAACGTGATGACTGCGTTGGTTTTTAGTGAGCATTCAACGTGATGAAATGACAGATATATCTTCGTGTCTGTGGCAGTGTTTACAGAGCTTTTAGGACGATGATCTGAAATAAGTTGACTATTAAAAAGAACAGCTGAACATAAGTTCACAAATAAAAAATATTGGTAACATTTTACAATAAGGTGTCGTTTAATGAGTTAACTAACATGAACAAACAATGGACATTTATTACAGTATTTACTCATCTTTGTTTACATTAGTTAATACAAATACAGTTGTTCATTGTTAGTTCATGTTAGTTCACAGTGCATAA